GACAGCAAATATATTTTAAAGCGGTAGTTTATTAATTGTGATTCTTGGTTTAATAAATTCAATTTAGTAGATTTTTATCCACCACTATTTCTAAATAATTCGTAGGCTTATATAATTCACCACTTTATAGTACTTATGTTATGCAATACCGTTTAAAAAGCAAACAAAAATAGTCAAATTTTCGCAAAATTTACTTTGTAGTTATCTGCTGTTTTTTAAAATTATTTTGGCGTCTCCGGAGCAGTTGGCATCTTTGACAAACTAAAATGATCGAAAAATTAACTGTCCAAAAAGATAGAAAAAATTATAAATGTAAAACAAACAAAAGGTATTTTGCAACTGAACCAAACTTGTACTTCAGATTAATAAATTAGAAAAATAGCTAGGTTTGTTGAATTTTAAAAACTGGAACTTTTACTTTTTTTAGAAACATTTTACCTTATAGCATATTAAATTTGAACGCATGCATTGGATTTCAATTAGTTATTGATTGAGTTAAACAGGTTGTAATGCAAAATCTAAGAAGACTGATGACCTTTTCTGAATATAAATGCAACTTTTCCTTACACATTTTCCCTGAAATAATGGTTGAAGATTGCAATAATAATACCAATAAAGAAAGTTGAAGTATAAATAAAAGTAAAGAATTTAAAAATAAGATAAGGAAAAGAAAGAATGTGTTAAATCAAATAACAATCAACAAACAATGGATATATTCATGAAAATGTTTAAGAAAAAAAAATTTGGACATTAAAAAAGGAATTTAAACAAAAATAAACAAAAATATAGACTAAAATTATGGATTAAAATAGCAAAATTGAAAATAACGCTGAATTTTCTAATATTCTTGAGACTTATTGTGGTAACGGGATGCAGCAGTGTTAGGGTCATGTTGACAGAATCATGCAATTCCTAGATAATGAAAGAAAAAAAATCCCAACTTCGGGAAATTTTTCTTTTTCAAATATTTTATTATTGACATGACAAATATAAAAAAAAATGAATAATATATAAAGAATAATAATAACATAACTGAAGTCTTAAGCCAGAATAACAGCCAATGAGCCATTTTTTCTTTTCAAACAAAGTAAACAATACTGAAATCTATCCTAAGATTGAAATTTTTCCTATAGCAGAAAATCTCAACTGTTTTTTTATATTTCACGCTTTGCATTTTATTTTACACATTTTTAAGAGGTCTATAAATTTTTCTCATTTTAAATGAAAAATTTACTTAAATTGTGTTATTATGAGGAATAATATTTCTTTGTGAAAAGCTAACTTTATTGTGATCTTCAAAAAAAGACTTTGAGCTGAAAAAAACTGTTAAGTCATAAGAACTGTTAAAAATGAAGATCAAACTCTTAAATTTTCTGATAGCGCTACAACAAATTTTTTTCAAGAACATTTAAATTGTGTTAAAATTTTTACCATGTGTACAAATGTGTATTTTTTATAACTCATATTACTTTTATATATTGTAATTTGCAAATTTTATTCTTTTCATTTTAATTGTGCTTCTATCATAGGGAATGTATTCCAAATCGATAATTTTTATGCATATTTAGATGGAACATAAAATTTTTCAGGGATAGGGGATGTAACATAAAAATCTTCAACTGATCTTTTTATGTAATTCCTTTATCTAAATCTTTTTCTTAATTTTAGACAAACGCTTTTTCTCTTACTTTAATATTTACATCCTGTCTTTTAATCTATTTTTGACTTCAAGTCATGCATTAATTAACATTTTATAGTATTCCCTCTAACTAAGCGTTAGAAAGCTAAATTTCCCTCGACCTATTAAATATACCAATTATAATAAATACTAAGATTTCCCTCTTTTCCAAAAACGAAACATTTTCACGGACTTACTTTGTAAGATTTTCCCTAACTTTTATTGAGGAACACTTCGATTTGGTGTCACTTCTATATTCATGCTCCAATTGTGATGGGTAAGTAAAATTAATTTGCTCTTTTTAAAATAATCCTGAGCCAGTTTGTCCAAATCCAATTCGGCTAAATTCGTCGCTAAAAGTCTATGCAAACTGGGTAAATCCTGTTTTTTTAAATAAATTTTAATTTTCAAAAATCATAATTCATAAATAATTTCTTAAATTGGATAATTGAATATCATCCCTATTAATTTGCCCTATTAATTGATTATTTAACTTTACAAATTACCTGTATAATATTATTACCGTTCGCGCATTCATTTTCAGGCTATCCAAGTTAGCTAATAAATTAAACGTGTTTCAGTACTGCAGCAAGAGTAGCTAATAAATTAAACGTACTTCAGTACTGCCATAAAAGGACCCTCTATTTACGTTTCCAATCTCCTTTTATGCTTCGATTTTCCTATTTTGTAATCTGGCACCTTATTACGAAATATTTTAAATCACTCTTGACAGATTCCGGTTAAAAAAATACAGAAAAAGTTAGGTTAGGTTTTATAAAAAGTTAGGTAAAAGTTATAAAAAGTTAAAAATTTTTTTTAAAAAAAATGGAAAATTAACGTAAGGAAACAATTTATAAGAAGACGTCATCAGCCCACACTATTACAGTACCGCTCAAAAGTATCAGTACACCTAGAAACTCATAAAAAAATGGCAAAATTCAAAGTGTCATAGCTTCTTTAAAAATGATCAAAAATGCTTCTGCTTTAGCTCATTTTGAAGCTTGAAATCTCTACTTTTATGTACTCTAATTGTTTTTAATTAATATATTTTGCAACTATGTTCAATTACACTCTAAACAATCATAGAAAATTGAATTAATTTTTTGTGAAGTTTGACGCGATGTACGGGCACAGAGGGGTTATATACTGTTAATTTTTATTATACCATTGAAAAATTTGGACTTTTAGCTTTCATTTAAAAAAAAATTCCAAAAAAACATGTTTTTTAACGAAGTTATTGTCAAATAAAAAAAAAGGTTTTTTTCAGAACTTAATGATTTTTCAGCAATTATAATGAATTTTAGTGTAATTATAATATGATATGAAATTTTTTTAATTAAAATAAATTAAAATTTAATATTTCTCGATAATATTATTTCATAATTTATTATAACAATTTTAACT